TACAATATAATCATCCGGAATAGCATTTCTCCTTTCTCTCGTGGATCTCCTTAATGGCACTGGTTCTTGAGGTTGTTGAGTTTGTTCTTCTGGAACAGGGAGTTGTTCAACATTATCATCTTGAGGTTCCGGATTTACTTCTTGAGCAACAACAGGTATAGGAACCTGAATATTGTCAAAAGTAACTGTATGGATTGGATCTGAAGCCAATTCCTCCTCAAAACTAATGTCTCTAACCTTATTTCTCCCCCCAAACTCAACATCCTCAAAGAATGTTGCTGTTCCCGTCTCAAAAATATTCCTTATAGTGGGATCATAAAACTTATAGCCCCTAGAGCGATCAGGGTACCCAATAAAGTAGCTGCTAACTGTTTTGGAGTCCAATTTCTTTTCATTTGGCCTATAAGGCCTTGCCTCAGCTGGACATCCCCAAATATGTAAATGCTTTAAACTGGGCTTTCGACCAGTCCAAAGCTCATAAGGTGTTTTAGCAACTGCTTTACTTGGTACTCTATTCAGAATGTAAGCTGCTGTCTTAAGTGCTTCTCCCCAGAGTGACTCTGGTAAAGAAGAATGAGCAATCATACTTCTTACCATATCCTTAAGAGTCCTGTTTCGTCTTTCAGCTACACCATTCATGCTAGGTGAACCCGGCATAGTGTACTGTGGGACGATACCGCATTCCTCTAGGTATCTAGCAAATGGTCCTGGACGTTGTTCACCTGAACCATCATATCTACCGTAGTACTCACCACCACGATCAGATCTGACGGTTTTAATTCTTCTGTTGAGTTGATTCTCAACTTCAGCTTTATAGGCTTTGAACATGTCCAGAGACTCAGATTTTTCATGAATAAGATATAGGTGCCCATAACGTGAGTAATCGTCTATGAATGATATAAAATATTGTTGACCATTCCAGGATTCCGTAGGGAATGGCCCACAAATATCCGTATGTATCAATTCTAAGACATCCGAAGATCTGTTGGCACCTAATCTCTTCACTTTGGTCTGTTTTCCCTTGATACATTCAACACATACGTCGAAGTCCGAAAAATCAAGGGAATCCAAAATGCCATCAGACACAAGACGCTCAACTCTACCTTTTGAGATATGACCTAAGCGCTTATGCCATAATGTCGCCGAATTTTCCTTATTTAATTTACGCTTAGTACCACGTGATTCCACATGCAAGGATTCATTGTAAGAAGCAATTGTATCAAGCAAATATAGGTTGTCATAAATACTCAAGTAACCGGTTCCCACAACATTTGAATTAAAAGATAAACTGAATTGACTGTTTCCAAATGAACAAGAATAACCTGATTTGTCCAATACAGAAACAGAAACCAAATTCCGTCTAAAAGACGGTACTACAAAAGTATCTTTTAAATCCAAATAATAACCAGTTCCTAACAACAACCTAAAGTGCCCAATTGCTTCCACATCTACCGATTGTCCGTCGCCCACAAAGATGTGTCTTTCAACATCACTTGGCTTTCGGTAGCTCAGGCAACCCTGCATAGAAACACTTATGTGAGTAGTAGCACCAGAGTCTAACCACCAAGTGTTTCTAGGTACTGAAGCTAAATTAACCTCAGAACAGACCAAAGCAAGGAACGTACCCTTATTATCACGCCAGGCGTGATATTTTGTACAGTCCTTCTTTACATGTCCAGGCTTCTTACAGAAGAAACAACCCTGATTATCCTTATGTTGTTTCTTCTCAACTGGACCCTTAGCAGCTTCCTTATCATTCTTCCTTTTCTTGCCCTTATCCTTAGAGGCATAGGCCAAATGAGCACTTTCTGTCTTATCTTGCTTCAACCTGTCTTCTTCTTGCACACAGTATGAAATGAGCTCATTTAGAGTCCATTTCTCCTTTTGACAGTTATAACTGACCTTAAATTGGTTAAACTGTGCAGGAAGAGACAACAAAACCAGATGCACTAATAACTCGTCACAAAGATCGAGTTTAAGTGCCTTAAGCTTTGAAGCAATATGAGACATTTCCATAATGTACTCCCTGATATTTCCTTTGCCCTTATACTTCATTGAAATCAAGCGAGCTAAAAGCGTGCTTGTTTCTACCTTATCGTTTTTCGCAAAACGCTTCTCAATTTCGGCAAGGAAATCTTTAGCCTTAGTAATCCCTTCGGATTCTATGCCCCTGAAGGCTTCCGGAACGCCGCGCTTAATGATCATAAGACTCATGCGATTTGAACGCTCCCACTTCTCATGCTCCTTCTTTGCATCAGGAGTGCTTTCCGCATTGAGAGGTTGGGGTTGTTCAGTTCTTAATGCATAGTCAAGATCCATGCAGCCAAGAACAATTAATATGTTCTCTTTCCAAACCTTGAAGTTTGTCCCATTTAGCATGGGAATTGAGTTGATGTTAGCAGAAATTGTTGCAGCAGATGCATTAGCTGAAATAAAACAAAAGAATGCTCACATCAATAACCATAATCAATAAAATTCAAATAATGACAATCCCCATCCAAGATACCGACACAACATTAATATCAAGTCTTTGGACAGTAATATTAACTTGTAAGTGATACCTTGTTGCAATGATCAAACATTGACAATAACTCATGTCAAATAATGAAACTATCTTTGGATCGATTCATTATTCACATGTAAACCTTATAATTGTCACACGCTTATCATCGCAGATGTGTATACAGTCTAAATAAATATTAACCTTCCTTTGGGCCGATTAAATATTTACACGAAAGCATACACACAAACATCTCACATTCCTCATGAACAATCTACACAAGAGAGGTTACTTTGGCAACTTCTTGTTTTAATTAATCAATTGGAGTGAGAGACAACCTTAATACCTTAGTGTCATAATATTTGAATTAAAAAATTAATTAAAAACCGAATTAGATTTAAATTAAAAAAAAATTTAAATCAACTGAATTTCCAAAAACTTGATTGGTGTCTCACAGCTTAATTAGGGCCCATAACTTAATTGAATAAATTAAGTATACCAAAGTGGACCCATGAAAAAGCCGAGGCTTAACCATAATGAACACGAAGTTCCCTTAACTTCGAACGCGAGGTTCGACTGTATTGAGTACGAGACTCACTTAAGTACGAACGCGAGGTTCGTCTGAAAATGAACCGCAAAGTTCAACCTGAGCACGAACGCAATGTTCGACCTGAGAACGAACGCAAAGTTCGTTAAAAAATGAACGCAGAGTTCAACCTGAGAACGAACGCAAAGTTCGTTAAAAAATGAACGCAGAGTTCAACCTGAGTACGAACGCAATGTTCGACCAACGAACGCGAGGTTCGTTGAAATTGAGCTTGACGCTCACCTGAGTTGAACGCGAGGTTCACCTTAGAACGAACGCGAGGTTCGTTAAAATTGAGCTTGACGCTCACCTGAGTGGAACGCGAGGTTCACCTTAGAACGAACGCGAGGTTCGTTAAAATTGAGCTTGACGCTCACCTGAGTGGAACGCGAGGTTCACCTTAGAACGAACGCGAGGTTCGTTGAGCGCGAAGCTCGGTTAAAATTGAACGAACACGAGGTTCGTTTGAGGCAACCACTCCTTAATTTTCGCCATGAACCCTTAGGGTTTTAAACTGAAACCGCCGCCGCCAAACCCAAAAATCTTTGATTTTTATTTTCAAAACAGATCCAGAATTGGAAAAAATTGAAGAAAAAATCAAAGAAAAATCCAAAAAATTCCAAAAAGTTACTGTTCACCGACGATCTTTCAGTTACTGTTCATCCGAAAAACTTTTCGTTACTGTTCATCCGAACAAAAAAATTTTACTGTTCATCCGAACCCAAAAAATTTTACTGTTCATCCGAACCCAAAAAAATTGAATCTTTAACCAGAGATTTAAGATCAAAAACCCAATAAAACTTAAATCCCTAAGAATTAATCAAGGTGGCTCTGATACCACTTGTTAGATCTACATCATAAAACTTGAGATCTAAAACCATATAGCCATGATTAATTCAAAGAGATTAACAAGGATCTAAAAGAGCGGAAGCTTATACCTGAATCCATTGCTTGATCTTGATTTTGGGTTTTGGATCTTCTAACCTTAGAGTTTCTCTAGAACCGAATTTCTCTAGCTAGATGGGGGTGTAGAGAATTAGAGAATGTAACCCTAGGTTAGGGACCATAACCCCTTATTTATAGATGTTGTACTTTTGTAATTTAGCCCCTCAATAAATTACAATTACAACCTGGTATCTGCACATATAACCCCATGATTATATTTAAATACCCATTAACCCAACTTAATTGATCACTTTAGTGGGTTATCCTGAAAGATAGCAATACACATTGATTAATCATATGTGCCCACAAATAGATTTATTAGATTAAATCCAACATTACCCTCTCCTACATGATTTCTATAAATCTTAGAGACTAAAATAGCGTACTGATATTTTTAGTAGGATCATGTTTACAATATGTTTTTTTCACTAGCAATATTATGATATTAATATAGATATTTTGATCTGATATTATTTATATACAAAAAATAATACGATTAATAATTTTATATAGGAAAAATAACCAGATGGCTATTAACTTTGACATTAATATCATAATATTATTGGTAAAAGAAAAAAAATACTATATCAAAATAAAGTCCTACTAAAAATGGCAACTTGATAATTTAGCTCAGACCTTATGTAAGTTTTGAGTATATTTCTTATCAGAACGCTCCAGGTGAGGGAGTAATCTCATCCATTCGTGAGGAAGTAAAATATCGATACTGTCCCTCCTGTGCATCTGTGCGGCGCTGGAGGTTCTAAGAAGATTCGTACGCGTAAATTTCTGTATTTACCTCTTTGGGTGTCTCTATGGGTTCAAAAAACACGGTCCTAGAAAATTATCCCCTCTCATCCTTCGCTTCCACGCTAACAAAAAATGATCCCACGGCCCACCGCATCGCACTATATCCACTTTCCATCGGACTTCGCCATAAAAAACAAAAAAACTGAAAGCAGGACCAAAACACAATTTACACGCAACCGAGAACTTTCTTGACCCCGCGCGCGCGTGACTCGCACGCCCCCCCCTCAACCTCCAAACCCTCTCCGAAGAAACCCCCGCATATTCCCTCTTCAACCGACAAAAACCCTCGAAATCAATGGCGGAGCCGTCGCTCTTCGCGAATTTCCCCCAATTCGAGCCCTCCGATTTCTCCCTCAACGACCCCAATCTCTTCGCTGCCGACGATCAGGTAGGGATCACCTCCGATCTCGATCTCGACGGTTTCGACCTCGATTTCTCCGTCGAAGATCTCCTTCTTCCTTCATCCGACGACAATGAAGAGGGATCGAATTCGAAGTCCAACTCCAATTCGAATGTTACCAGTGATTCCAGTCCCGATTCAGGTTCGAATCCGGGATCGCCGGAATCCGGCAACTCCTCGGCGGCGTCGGGCGTTATCGTCAACCAGGAAGTGAAGCAGGAGGATGAAGAGAATTTGAGGCTGAAAAGGAAATTAGATGATGACGATAGAGTTGAAAACACTAGCCCTAACCCTGGCCCTAATTGTAAACCTAGCAGTAGAAGTCTTAAGATCCGGCGATCTGATGAGGTGAGCTCGCCGTCGCCGTCTTCTTTCAGTGCGGGGACCGACGAGGACGAGAAGAGGAAGGCGAGGTTGATGAGGAACAGAGAGAGCGCGCAGCTGTCGAGGCAGAGGAAGAAGCACTACGTGGAGGAGTTAGAGGAGAAGGTGAAGATTATGAATTCTACAATTGCTGATTTGAATGGGAAGATCTCTTTTTTTATGGCGGAGAACGCGAGATTGCACCAGCAGTTGAATGGGAATGGAGGAGGAAATGGTGGTATTGGGAATGGTAATGGTAATCCTCCTCCTGCTGTTTATCCACCGACGGTTCCTCCACCGTATCATTTTCCGTGGATTCCTTATCCTGGGTATGGGATGAGGCCCAATGGTCCTCCAGTTCCTTACGTCCCGATACCGAGGTTGAAGCCTCAGCAGCCTGCTTCAGCTCCCAGGGCAAAGAAAACCGAGAGCAAGAAGGGAGACAAGACCAAGAAGGTTGCAAGTGTCAGCCTGCTCGGGCTGTTATTTATTATGATGGTATTTGGGGGCGTCTTCAATTTTGGATTAGAAGGGAGTAGGGATAAGGTTTATGGCGGAGTAAGTGGCAGTAATGGTAGGGTTTTGAGTGTTAAAGGGCGCGGAAGCAGTTTGAATAATACTGAGGAATTTAGACGGTCTATAGGAAAGATGAATCAGAAGGAAATGGAAGGATCAGGAGCGAAGCATAATTCTAGTGAGAGTCTGCCTGCATTACTTTATGTACCAAGAAATGGGAAGCATGTGGAGATTAATGGTAATTTGATAATACATTCAGTCCTTGCCAGCGAAAGGTCCATGGCGCAAGCAAAATCTAGAGAGCAAGGAAAGGAATCATCAGGGAAAGAAGGCACTAGTTTGGTGATCCCAGGTAATGTGGCTTCTGCATTGGCTGTTCGTAAAGGTCCAGTGGATGTGGGGAGGCATTCTGAGAGATATAGGAACTCTGCTGAACGGCAAAGAGCTCTTGCTTCAGATTCTTATGATGCATACAGAGACAACATGAAATCAACTCTAGCTGACGGGCCGCTTCAGCAATGGTTCCGTGAAGGATTAGCAGGTAAATGATACCCAATTATCTTACAAATTTCTGTTTAAGTGTGTATTAGTTTATAGGCAATTGATCTATTTGAATTGGCAGACCATGATAGTATTTGTTTTATTGGGATGTCTAAGAACTATGTCTTTATGTGCTCCTGGAGATGATAATCTAAATTAGAAGATAGCAAAAAGACATAAATCAGATTTTTGCGTTGGCCTGTCACACTGTTGTCAGTAGTATCTGTTGTTTTTTGGGGTAGGAGGATTGCTAAGGCATACTGCAATAGGGAAAAAGATTGTCAAAAATGGATAGATGTGCATTACTGGGTCCATCTTTAGGTGATGTGATAGATGCGAGCAGCCCATACAGAAATGTAAAATTTTCTCCATTACTAATAAAGAATTTGATTGTTATTTTAAAATGCATCAACTGGGATGTTAATGTACATGCTTGCATGTGCATGGGCTTGTATGGATAGGAGGTGGTAGGAGAATTTCTTGTATTGTTAGCAGGTGATAGGAGATTTTGGAGCGCAAATGTGTGTCATTCATGTTGATTAGGGTCTTACGTCCAGTCTAGGATATCATGCAGATTGTGTGTTTCTCATCCAGAAAGACAAGTTATAGATCATGGATCGTGATATAGGGTTCTAAAACAAAGTTTCAAGGTTAACTTTTGAGATGTATTAATGTTTGATAATCCGTAATAGATCCGAGTATATTCAAGAATCAAATGTGTAGTTTCAGTGTAGTGTTTCTCGAAAACGACATATAAGGGGATAACATAAAATCAACTCTGGCTTATTGATCCTCTCAACAGTGGTCCGTTGAAGGATGGGAAACTGTGGCATACAATGGTCTTACACTCTTACTTGTTACCGTCCATTTATGTGCTTGCTAATTCTATCTGGAAAATGATCATGACTTTCTAATCCTTAAGTTTTGCTATGCTGAACATAAATGGCTTTATACTTTTACTGGAATTTCTTGGAAACTGTGCTTCATGGTAAGGTTTTCCAGGATACAGCGACTAGATTAGATTAGAGTGCCAACTTACAGAGATTAGATCTTTGCAAGTTAGGTGGATTGTCACACACTTGTATTAATGGCTTTGGTTAGAGATCAAGAGGAATGCCAAGTTTACTTGAGCAGAAATAGTCTTGTCAAAGAGGAAGGATGTGGAATACACCATCTTTTAAGGTAGTGATCCAAACTCTTACAGTTTAAATTGGATGCAAGTATATGCTAGCTTGTAAACGCTGATATCAATTAGCGCTCCATTATCCAGAAAGACGAGTGATATGTGTTCATTATCAGAAAATACAAGTGATAGGTTATGAATCATAATTCATGGTTTAAAATATACTTCAAATTTGGAATATGTGTTCTAGGATATAGGAATCTGTTGATTGAAGTTTGAAAAGCACCCACTAGATTGGAGTATAAATGGGAATAGAACGGTTGAAATTAAGGGTAGCTTCTTTGGGCACTACATTAATGAGTACTACTAAACAAGAAATGTTATAGGTTGTAACTATAGAAAGTTCATATGAGATAAATTTAGAAATCTATGGAGAGAGAATGTAGAGAAAGGGAAAGCCTGAAGACCAAAAGAAAAACTTCTATTTCTTGAAACTATCTTGAGAAAACTTCACCACTATTTTAATATACCTTATATTAAAAATTCATGGAAATTCGAAGATGCGATCATATGACTCGCCCGGAGCTTCGCTAAAGTAAAGTGACTCTGTTCACGTAAGCCATTTTGTTACTGCTAAACCAGCTGCGATATCCCTGATAACAACTCAGACTGGCTTATAATTGCTAACAAGATGTAAACCTTGCTTTGGTGACGTGCGCTGACTGCGCACATCATACATTCGTGAAAGCTATTTCACAGGATAAAGGCGCTGACCATATTTTCCTATTCCTAGCGCAATGTCCTAGGAAAGATTGGAAGTGCACTTGTTAATTCAATTTAGAAGCTATTGGAGGTTATTATTCTAGTACAGTAGATGATGGTTCTGGTATCTAATTTAGTATGGGATGCATAATTTTGGTTGGGACCATGTCAAATACAATGGTGAGACTAATGATATTTAAATTATTCTGCTGTTGAAGAATTCAAGTCGAGTTGCAAAATAGAGGCGAGTCTTTGTAGATCGGGAAGCTAATTAGTTTGATACTAAACATTGACCTTTAACCCAATTCATTTGTAGGATAAAATTCGGGATCATATAGTCCGCTTAAACAAATTTAGGATAAAGGTTTTCTTGTTGCTTGTTTCTGTTGATACATATGACACGATTAAACATTGCATCATATGCCTCTTTGTTTTTTTTCTTTATTTTCTCTTGAATGGTCGAATATGAGTTTTGCTACACTATTACGATTCAAGTGGTTTGATCTGCGTTAGTGTCTACAAAATATGTTTGTGTATCTTTGGTGGGTTTATGACTCTATTTGCTTGATAGGAATAATCAACGATTTACATTTCTATTATTTTACTCCCAGTTCTCTCTTGAGATATTGTTTGGTCATTGCTTCCTTGTTGAGTAATGCTTTTCTTCTGAAATTAGTCTGCTCTGCTATCCGTTTTGCTGATTGTCCTGATCTTGATGTATGCCACAACATCAAGTTTCTAAAAAAGTAGGGATGATAATATAGGTTAGCCTGAAACTACATATCAATTGTGTATACCTGCTCTAAGATTAGATTGTACAAGATGTGAGGGAAGTAGGAGAAGTAAGTGTTTAAGACATCAATTTCCAAACCAACTTATGTTCAAATCATTAACAGAACATGGGAGAAATAGAAGAGAAGACAGAAGCTGGTGTTGCCATCTGATCTTTTGCTGATATTCATGTTGGAGCAGCTGCATATATCAATTTGTCTCTTATTTCCTTCATCTTGCTCTTCCCTATTCTTCTCTGTTCTTCCCAGATCTTGTCTTTTTAATCCTTTTTTAGTTCTCTTAATCTTTGTTTTTCCAAAGCTTCTTCTGTCCTCTGCCGTGTAGACATTCTGAATTCATGGACAGAGCCTCAATTCAAAACCCACACCAATTCTCCCTCCCTCCCTCTCTGACCATTTCTCGTAGTGGCTTCATTGTCTATCAAATGGAGAGGAACCCAGTAGAAAAAAGAGGACTCCTATTATTTTCTTCACACAATCTGTTATACTAAACATCAACTATCTAGGACCTTTTGTTACCTTTTATTTGAAGTTTTGTTTAAAGTTTTTTATGTTTGTGCTAGTCTATGACTTTTTCTGCTGGTTACCTGTTCTTGAAGATTCTGTTTCAATCTTTATCATGTAGGAGAAGAGGGTTGTAAGTTGGTTTGTACAGTAGCCAATCTTTTCATTGACAACTTCACATTGCCCTATTCAATGACTGCTGGCACTGTTAAGATTTCGAAATGCAATGTTTAGTCCCTTTGCGCAGATAACTTCCACTTTTTTTAATAAGATTTGAGATATATATACAAGTATGTTTGCTTATATAGAGTTGAGAAGAAATACTTTGTTAGTGCATGCAAATCCGATGGTGGTATTTGACCTTTATATGTTGTTCTAATAGCTTGCTTTTTTAACTACATTAACTGAACATTCATTCATTCAACAAATTGAAACCAATTGTTAACTTAGCTGAACTTTCTTATATTAAAGAAAGCTTGCCAAAATGTATTATCATGCTTGATGCGGTATTTTTTTTAGCACAATTCCGATATATAGTTGGAACTGCTTATTTTGGGTGGAGTAGCAACTACGAACTGTTACATCCTATTTGCTACTACTAGGCATGGAGGTCTAGTGTAACCAAGCAACGATTTTTGAGTATATTATATTTGAAGCTGCATGCAGCTTCATTTGCAGGCAACCACACATACTCTGAATGCTGATAATGGCTGACCATATCAGGCACCATCTGTATTAAACTAAGGTTAATTATTTAGATATAAGAAATGAGACACATTCAGATATTATGTAGAAATTTGACGAGACGTTGTATAGTTCTTTTCCAAACTATAGAAGAATATTATCAGCTAAACTTTTAGCGTAAGTGCAATTTTTTGTTACTATATTGTTAGAATGTGTCTGGTCTTATCGATTTTCAAAGTATGAGTTGTGTAAACTATGCCTCACATTGTAACCCTTATCCCTGAAAACGTCGATATGGTTCGAATTTCTGTTCTAGTATCTCTTTCTCATGTATTTTGCAATCAACTTTATGCAGTTTGTGTATTATAGGCCAAATATTTGAAAAAAGCCATAGCGTATGGTTCGAATTTCTGCGCTCTCTGTTGTTGAGTCTAGGATTGTTTTCTTTGGCAGGTCCAATATTAAGTTCGGGCACATGCACTGAAGTGTTCCAGTTTGAAGTCTCACCATCTACCATCGTTCCGGCAACACCAGTGGCTAATACAACTGATAAGCTTCCCACGGGCAAAATAAAAAACCGAAGGATACTCTATGGTCAGTCAATTCCATTAAATGGATCAAGTCTAAATGAGACGGAGCACTTTGGGAAAGCAACAGAGAGCAGCAAAACCTTCAATGGTAACAACTCAGCGACCTCCATGGTCGTCTCAGTTATGGCTGATCCAAGAGAAGCCGGTGATGGAGATGGTGATGGAATGATCAGACCAAAATCACTTTCTCGTATATTTGTTGTGGTCCTCATGGACAGCGTCAAGTATGTTACTTATTCTTGCATGCTTCCGTTGAAAACCCATGGCCCTCATCTAGTAAACTAACTTCTGTAAGGCGCACAGAGAGCTCTTTTTTTTTGGAACTTGTTGTATTAGAACAAAGTGCTTTCTTATAGTTAAAGTTGACTTAATCAGATACGTACATAAGGGTACTGAAGCAGCTGAAACTTTTTTGAGGCCCCGAGTACGAGGAAAACGGTACCAGCCATGGCCCGAAGGGAGCCACTCTTCGCGCCTCAGCACCATCTATAAGTCCGGTGATTGTTCGGCACAGTATTCTATTCATTGATATAAAATCACTCCGTTGCGACAAGGCTGTGTCGATTTTTGGCCGGTATACATGTACTTATACGGTGGTAGGGTTATCTGTTGGTGGTTCATCTTTTGTGGTGCGTCAGTTTGTGTTGGGGGGATCTTGTGCTTGTCTAAGATTCCGGCCGCATATAGTTGTGATGACAATAAAAAGTGGCACGCGTCTCTTTTTAATGAATAGTGGGGGTTGATTACAGGAGGAAGATCGACGGAGGGTCTCTCGAACTTTAGTCGTGCGCTGCGCATACTATTCAAGAGGGTCAAAGAAGGGTCTTTGCTTGATGGCCGCAAATCGCACTACCGATGGAATCCTGGACTTTTCTTTGGGGTTATGATGTGCGATTAAAACATTTGATTCCCGGCCCAATAATTACGGTGATAAAATATTTCGGTGGATACGTGCTACCTGCTTTTTTGTAAGATTCTCTGGGCTTTCGGTAAACTCCAAGTGTATATATCTTCAGCGGTGGGTAGCTTGTCTTCTGAGAACGAAAACGATGAGGGTGCGTGGTTGAGTGGACGTGTGCGTGGATGCAGAGGACAGGGGAGGACACGTGGATGCAATCCGAACCACTTCGGTCACATCTCAATTATTTTCGTAACAGGATAGTTTGTAGATGTGAAACTTTGTTTCTATGAAAGTATAATTACCTATCATTTATGTTCTTCATTTACGTCTCTAGCTCCGGAACATGTGACAAGGGGTTATGTGTTTCCATCAGATCCCAAACTTCCGTTGAAATCACGCGACCCGTTAAGAGTCGAAAACATTTGCCCAGAACATGTTGGCACAAGATTGTCGCATGATCGAGTTTAAAAGTTCAGAAGGTTAACACTGTCGCGTAACCCGGAGGTGCATACGCTAACAAATTGAAGTAGCTATATTTTATGAGGATAAAAGCAGGTATCATATGATTCTGCGTAATACATGAACATTGGGTGAGAAACTATCTATTCTTGAATTAGCGCGGTTAAACAAGCTTGTTCAGCCTTCGATATTTTGGAAGGTTGCTCTTCCCTTGCCGCAGCCCAACAAAGAGTTAAATATGCGGGTACTATATGTCAAGACATGGATTAAGATATATGTTAATATGTGATGTGATCCTTTGAAAGACGAGTCTAAAAAGTTTGTTGTCTTTGTTATTGTAGAAAAAATAAAAGTGACACAAGACTCCCAGAAAGCTCCCTTACTCCCAGATTTTATTAATGATGAATTTCTTTCTTTTTTTTTGTATTTATTACAAGCTGTAGCAATGATATATGTTTTTTTATACAAGGAGAAGCAAATACAATTAAGCTAACTGCTCAAGAAAAGGAAACAAATAAAACTGCTAATCTCCTAAAGATGGAAACAGTGAAATATCAGCAGATAATATTCCAAAAATGCTTCTACCAGCTTATATGTTGCGCAACCGTTATGTCATGATTCCTGATGATATATATCTTCACAATAATTTAAAGTTACGGAGAGACTATAAATGTACATTCATACATTCATACCATAATCTAAAGCAAAGAGACAGGGCCTCATTGACTCCACCCCAGCAGCAGCTTTATTGCTCTCAAACTGAGAGAGGCAGGGGCTCAAGCTCACTGTTGCTCTCAGCAATGGAGAGCAAAAATGGAGGAGAGAAGAAGAAAGCAAAGCAAGGAGGGTTCAAGACTATGCTATTTATACTTGGTTAGCGCTGTGATTTTTAATTTTTCATAATCCCACTTTACATTTTGTGTTTGCTTACCGTAAAATTTAGACACGGCATTCGGACAAATAAAAATTCGTCATGAATTAGTTCTTGTGTATGGATTTGTTTTTCTCAAATATAATAAGTGCTACAAACTTCAAATTTGATGTTAACTAGAAATTTCCTTGAAAAAAGAGAATGATGTTAACCATTTTGTGCTTCAATGTTCAAGTGCTGGTATTTTCCCTATGTTTTTTTCTTATTAATTTACCAGGAGTAGATTAAAGCACAAAAATTCTAGCATTAAAACCTCAAATAAAGATCTCACAGGACATGATGACTTACAGCTTGCTGGTCATCCGTCGAACTGGCAAAATGTTTAGCATCATGATTCTATACACAACTACTACATCTCTCACTAATTAATTTGTTAGTAGTTCTTCTTTAATTATTGAGGAGTTTTCCATTCTTGCGCACATTTGTCTTCATGTGCTCAGCTTGACTGCATCCCTGCTCACTTGCAGGAAATGATATCTGTGATAAGTTTGCAACTGCTGGATTCAATGCAAACATGGTCTCGTACTTGACCAGCCAGTTGCATTTGCCTCTAGTTACAGCCTCCAACACCCTCAGCAACTTGAGTGGCACTTCCAGCCTCACCACTATCATCGGTGCTCTGATCGCCGACTCCTTTGCTGGCCGTTTCTGGACCATCACCGTTGGCTCGCTCATCTATCAGCTGGTACGCATGTACAATCTTAAAACAGTTACATATTTAAGGTCTGTCTGGTATGTTGCAACCGCAATTACAATGCAAATGTCAGTTCCGTGCAGCTGCAGTTGCTGTAAATGTTGTGGCATGCAATTGTACTTGTAGCTATGGGAATTTTAAAATTTTCTTTTTGAATTCTATTCTGGTGTAGTTGCAATTGAGTCGCGACTTAAAACTCGCTGCTCAAAATGATTGAAACTGATACTCCCATCCAAATTTGCATTAGTCGTGAACACATCTGGGGGCCTTTTGCATCTGCATTTATTGGTCGTACGTGAAACAAGAAGACGGAATCATGGAATTGTCCCAAAATGTCTCATTTGCATGCAATTGCATTTACAAGCTTTGCAGTTAGAGCGAAAGTATTCACTCAATATTATGGCTGATGCCTTATCAACATCAAAAAACTTAATTTTACAGGGAATGATCACTCTCACAATATCAGCTATCCTCCCTGCTCTCCGCCCACCGCCGTGCACACCACCTGACGTTTGCCACCGTCCATCAACATTCCAACTCCTAGTCCTCTACTCCTCCCTCATCCTAACCTGCATTGGCGCTGGAGGCATCAGACCCTGTGTTGTTACATTCGGCGCAGACCAATTTGAACTCGACAAGACACGAACAAGCACAAGGAAATGGAACTATTTCAGTCTCTACTACTTCGCATTGAGCGTGTCTCATCTCTTAGCCCTTACTTTGGTTGTGTATATCCAAGACAATGTTGGTTGGGGATGGGGGTTTGGGATTCCTAGCATGGTGATGTTCGTGTCGGTTGTTGTGTTTGTGATTGGATATCCGCTGTATATAAAAATTAAGCCTGCAGGGAGCCCGATGACACGGTTGACACAAGTATTGATTGCTGCTTTCAAGAAGAGGAAGATTGCGAAGCCTGAAGACCCGAGTCTTTTGTTTGTTGATAAGGAATTGGATGCTGATATTTCAACTGGAGGGAGGCTTATCCATACTGAACAGCTTCGGTGAGTGCACATCTCGAGCAATACTCAAGTAGCATGAAATGTTGAATTGGATGTTCCTAGAGTTGAACAGCGCATTAACTTACTTATACATGCAGAATGGAATACGATCAAACTATAAAAACACAATTTTGATGAATTTCAAAATCATGAAGTTTTGCATATTGAGCAGACCCATAGGCCACATTGATAACATGTTTTCAGTGAAATGGACAAAATTTAGCCTGTTTGTTTTAGCAGAGAAATGTGAAAACAATAACAGGATCCAATAAAGACTTGCTACTATACACACCAAAAAGAATTATAGGCGTAATACAATAAAGAGCATGTAATAGTAATAAGGAAATGACATGAGACTAGAACCTCAATGCATTCTTGATACTGAACCCTTAAAATATGTAATAGTAATAAGGAAATGACATGAGACTAGAACCTCAATGCATTCTTGATACTGAACCCTTAAAATATGACCCTGATCATGCATTTTTATTTGAGACTAGAACCTCAATGCATTCTTGATACTGAACCCTTAAAATATGACCCTGATCATGCATTTTTATTTTCATGGTTTACAACTTAGTTAACATGAAATGATGAATTGGAGTCCACTCTGAAAGCAAGTCTAATTCCTAAAATTGAACAAATTGGATAAAATTATTCGATAAAAAATCGACTCTGATGAATCTCAACACGGTTTTATTTCATGAAATTTGTATAATGAGCAGACCCTCAACTACATAACCTTCTGATGAATCTCAACACGGTTTTATTTCATGAAATTTGTATAATGAGCAGACCCTCAACTACATAACCTTGATAACTTATTACTTTCAGTAAAATGGTATAATGAGCAGACCCTCAACTACATAACCTTGATAACTTATTACTTTCAGTAAAATGGACAACACTCGGCTTGTTTCTTTCAGCAATGTTTTGCTGACATTATACCCTGAAACTGATATCCCTACATCATGGAAATTCATTCATGGATTGGTCAAGGTTCCTCGATCAAGCTGCAATCATTACTGATGGCGACATGACTGACTCTGGCAAGACAAGGCTCTGGAGACTATCGACAGTGCACCGGGTAGAAGAACTGAAGTCAGTTATACGCTTGATCCCAATTTGGTCCGTTGGGATCTTGACTGTGACTGCAGCCTCCCACAACCACTCCTTCGCGATAATTCAAGCAAAGGCGATGAACCGCCATCTCACACCTAACGGTTTCCAAATCCCTGCAGCATCCATGTCCATCTTCGCCACTGTAATGATGATCATCGGCCTTCCACTCTATGATAAAGTCATAGTCCCTATATCTCGCCAATTCAAACAATCAGGGTTCACATATCTACACAGGATCGGAATTGGGCTAGCGATCCAAGTTCTAGCCATTGTATTGGCTGCACTGGTGGAGCATAAAAGGAAGTTAACTGTAACTGCTCCGATCAGTGTATTCTGGTTAGTACCACAGTACGCGGTCCATGGGCTCGCTGAATCGTTCATTCAAGTCGGACACATGGAGTTTTTGTACGATCAGTCGCCGGAGAGCATGAAGAGCACGGCAGTGGCGCTGTTCAACCTTGCCGCGTCCGTGGGGAACTATATGGGGACTGCACTTGTGACTGCGGTGAGTGAGTATACGAAGAAGAGAGGAGATTGGTTGCAGGATGATATTAATAGGGGGAAGTTGGATTCCTATTATTGGTTGGTGACAGTGTTGCAAGTGATTAATCTTGGGTATTATCTTGTTTGTGCAAAATTATATACTTATAAGACGTTGGAAGTTGATGGAGTAGAGAAAGGAGGAGGTTCTGTTGGAGATTTGGAGCTTGTTAATAGTGTTCAAGACTGATTAAAAGTTGACTTGGTAAATGATATTTTGCTGATATTTCTGATGTAATTGCAGATTTTCGTTAGCTAAAATTTCGGTCTTTGGTTTTATTTTGTTAGTGGAGTAGTGGCTAATAAATCTGAAAGTAGTTCAGAGTTTTATGATGATTCAGTTGTTTTGTAAGGCTATAAAATGTACTTTCAGTTTATGAATAAAGGGTAGCAAAATCTTCTCCTCTTTTTTTTTCCAACATGGTATCAGAGCTACAGTTTTCTTGGGTTCGTGAGGATTTAAAAAAATAGAGTGATCAACCTTTGTTTTTTAATGGCATCCAATATTTTTTCGCTTCCATACCCCATCCTCAATAGAGACAATTATCAATCTTGGGCTATCAAGATGAAATCTCATTTGAAAGCTTTGAGTTTATGGGAGGTTGTTGAGAGTGACTATGAGCCGAACCCTCTTCCACAAAATCCAACCCCCAAATCAAAAAGCACGACGAAGAAAAAGTAAAGAAGCCAAAAGCCCTCTCCTGTATTCATTCAGCTGTGTCGGACGGAATCTTCACAAGTATAATGACTTGTGAATCACCTAAGGAGGCGTGAGAGATGTTAAAGGAATAGTTCGAGGGCAACGATCAAACAAAATTGATGCAAGTTCTGAATCTCAAAAGGGAATTTGAGATGCAAAAGATGAAGAAATGCGAGACCATCAAAGAGTATGTCGGTAAGCTTATGGCTATTGTCAATCAAATTAGATTGCTTGGTGAAACATTTTCAAATGAAAGAGTGGTTGATAAGATTTTAGTGACTGTTCCCGAAAGGTGAGAGTCCAAAATTTTCTCACTTGAAGATTCTATAGACCTATCCAAAATAACTCTAATGAATTTAGTCAATGCCCTCAGTGTTGTAGGCCAAAGGAGATCAATGAGGAAGGAAGAAAATGGTGAAAAAATTGAAGAAGCCTTATTAGCCAAAACTTCCTCTTCAAAAGGGAAAGACAAAGACATCCAATGCAACCATTGTAAGAAACTTGGCCATGAGGAGAAGGATTGTTGGCATAAAGGAAAACCTCAATGTCACAAATGCAAGAGATTTGATCATATCCAAAAATATTGCCGATATAATGGTGAAGAACAAGCAAACATGGCACAAGCAGTTGAAGAAGAAATTTTATTCTAGGAATCATGGTGAGATGTGCACCATGGAGAGATTGAGACAAGTTCTCTATCAATATTTGTGGAGAGATGTGTTCCTTTAAGAGAATATTGGTGATTATGTGCTGTTGGATTTAAATCTAATTAAATCTATTTGTGGGCACATATGATTATTCTGTGTGTATTGCTATCCTTCAGGATAACCACTAAAATGATCAGTTAATTTGGGTTAATGGGTATTTAAATAAATCATGGGGTTATATGTGCAGATACCAGGTTGTAATTGTAATTTGATGAGGGGCCAAATTACAAATGTACAACACCTATATATATATGAGATTATGGTCTCTAATCTAGGGTTAGTCATTCTCATTCTCTTATCCCCATCTAAAGAGATCCTAAGGAGAGAAACCCTAAGATTAGAAGATCATCAAACCCTAATCAGGTTTCCTCAATGGATTCAGGTATATGCTTCCGCACCTTTTGATTCTAGTTAATCTCTTTGAATTAATCATGACTTTAAGATTTAGATCTCAAATTTTAGATCTTACAAGTGGTATCAGAGCCATCGTGATTTGTTTTAAGATATTAAGATTAAAATTAGGGTTCTTTGATCTTAATTTGTGTTTTATTCAGATCTGGTCACGGATAAACAGTAACATTTTTTGATTTTTCGGGTGAACAGTAAAAAACACTATGAACAGTAAAAATTTTAAATTTTTTGGATTTTCTTTGATTTTTCTTGGATCTGAATCAAGAATTTTTTTTTTTTTCGATTCTGGATCTGATTTTGAAATAAAATCGAGAAATTTTTGGATTTATTTTGTTTGGTCGTCGGTCTCGTGCTCCTCGCCGGCGAAGTATCATTGGCTGTCTCGCTTTCGACTCCAACGGCGACGGTGGCGTTAGGAAACCCTAGGATTTCGACCTTTGGGTGCGGGAGCAATGGTGGCGACGGTTTCAGATTAAACCCTCAAAGGGTTCGTGCGTGAAAACGTGCGGGAATTAAGGAGGTGATTACCTCAATTTTTGGCGAGGCTTGAAAGCTTCAAACGAACTTCGCGTTCGTTCTAAGGTGATCCTCGCGCTCAATTCAAACAAACTTCGCGTTTGTTCTAAGGTGAGCCTCGTGCTCAATTCAAACGAACTTCGCGTTCGTTCTAAGGTTAACCTCGCGCTCAATTCAAACGAACTTCGCGTTCGAGCCTCGTGCTTAATTCAAACGAACTTCGCGTTCGTTCTCAGGTGAGCCTCGCGTTCAATTCAAGTCGAACCTCACATTCGTTATCAAGTCGAACTCCGCGTTCATCCTCAGGCGAGCCCTGTGCTCAATCCAAACGAACCTCGCGTTCGTTCTCAAGTTGAACATCGCGTTCATTCTCAGGTCGAACTTCGCATTCATTTTCAAACGAATCTTGCGTTCGTTCTCAAGTTGAACATTACGTTTATTTTTTTAAACGAACCTCGCGTTCGTTCTTAGGTGAGTCTTGTACTCAATTCAGACGAACCTAGCGTTCGAAGTCAAGCGAACTTCATGTTCACTTTAGTTAAACCTTGGCTTTTCATATTAACTTATGGGTCCACTTTAGAATACTTAATTTATTCAATTAAGCTATGGGCCCTAATTAAGCTATGGAAAATTCTTCTAATTCGAATTAAGTTGTTTAATTTGAATTAATTTTGGTAGTTAATCAATTATTTTACTCAAATATTATGACACTAAGCTATTAAGGTTGTCTCTCACTCTAATTGATTAATTAAAACAAGAAGTTGCCAAAGTAACCTCTCTTGTGTAAATTGTTCATGAAGAATGTGAGATGTTTGTGTGTATGCTTTCGTGTAAATATTTAATCGGCCCAAAGGAAGGTTAATATTTATTTAGACTGCATACACATCTGCGATGATAAACGTGTGATAATTATAAGGTTTACATGTGAATAATGAATCGACCCAAAGATAGTTTCATTATTTGACATGAGTTATTATCAATGTTTGATCATTACAACAAGGTATCAATTACAAGTTAATATTACTGTCTAAAGACTTGATATTAATGTTGTGCCAGATATCTTGAGATGAGATTTGTTATTATTTGAATTTTATTGATTACTAATTACGGTTAATGATGTGAGTATCTTTTGTTTATTTCAGCTAATGCATCTGCTGCAATAATTTCTGCTAACATCAACTCAATTCTCATGCTCAATGGGACCAATTTCAAGGTTTAGAAAGAGAACATATTAATTATTCTTAGCTGCAAGGATCTAGACCTTACATTAAGAACTGAATAACCTCAACCTCTCAATACGGATAGCACTCCAGATGCAAAGAATGAGCATGAGAAGTGGGGCCGTTCAAATCGCATGAGTATTATGATCATTAAGCGCGCGTTCCGGAAGCCTTTAGGGGCATAGAATCCGAAGGGATTACTAAGGCTAAAGATTTCCTTGCCGAAATTGAGAAGCGTTTTGCGAAAAACGTAAGGTAGAAACAAGCACGCTTTTAGCTCGCTTGATTTCGATGAAGTATAAGGGCAAAGGAAATATCAGCGAGTACATTATGGAGATGTCTCATATTGCTTTAAAGCTTAAGACACTTAAACTCGATCTTTGTGATGAGTTATTGGTGCATCTGGTCCTGTTGTCTCTTCCTGCATAATTTAATCAGTTTAAGGTCAGTTATAACTGTCAAAAAGAGAAATGGACTCTAAATGAGCTCATTTTGTACTGTGTGCAAGAAGAAGACAGGTTGAAGCAAGATAAGACTGAAAGTGCTCATTTGGCCTATGCCTCTAAGGATAAGGGCAAGAAAAGAAAGAATGATAATAAAGCTGCTAAGGGTCCAGTTCAGAAGAAACAACATAAGGATAATCAGGGTTGTTTCTTCTGTAACAAGCCTGGACACGTAAAGAAGGATTGTCCCAAATATCACGCATGGCGTGCTAATAAGGGTACGTTCCTTACTTTGGTCTATTCTGAGGTTAATTTAGCTTCAGCACCTAGAAACACTTAGTGGTTAGACTCTGGTGCTACTACTCACATAAGTGTTTCTATGCAGGGTTGCCTGAGCTACCGAAAGCCAAGTGATGTTAAAAGACACATCTTTGTGGGCGATGCTCAATCGGTAGATGTGGAAGCAATTGGGTATTTTAGGTTGCTATTAGGAACTGGTTCTTATTTGGACTTAAAAGATACTTTTGTAGTACCGTCTTTTAGATAGAATTTGATTTTAGTTTCTGTATTTGACAAATCAGGTTATTCTTGTTCATTTGGAAATAATCAATTCAGTTTATCTTTTAATTTAAATATTGTGAGAACTGGTTACTTGAGTACTTATGACAACCTATATTTGCTCGATACAATTTCTTATTATAATGAATCCTTGTATGTGGAATCACGTGGTACTAAGCGTAAATTAAATAAGAAAAATTCGGCAACATTATGGCATAAGTGCTTGGGTCATATCTCAAAAGGTAGAGTTGATCGTCTTGTGTCTGATGTTATTTTGGATTCCCTTGATTTTTCGGATTTCGACGTATGTGTTGAATGTATCAAGGAAAAACAGACCAAAGTTAAGAGATTAGGTGCCAACAGATCTTCGGATGTCTTAGAATTGATACATACAGATATTTGTGGGTCATTCCCTACGGAATCTTAGAATGGTCAATAATATTTTATATCATTCATAGACGATTACTCACGTTATGGGTACCTATATCTTATTCATGAAAAATCTGAGTCTCTGGATATGTTCAAAGCATATAAAGTTGAAGTTGAGAATCAACTCAACAGAAGAATTAAAATCGTTAGATCTGATAATGGTGGTGAGTACTACGGCAGATATGAAGGTTCAGGTGAACAACGTCCATGACCATTTGCTAGATACCTAGAGGAATGCGGTATCGTCTTACAGTACACCATGCCGGGTTCACCTAGCATGAATGGCGTAGCTAAAAGACGAAACAAGACTCTTAAGGATATGGTAAGAAATATGATTGCTCATTCTTCTTTACCAGAGTCACTCTGGA